GGGCGGGCGGCATCCCCGCTCCGCCGCGGCGGGGTCGGGAGCGCCTCGGAGCGGGCGCAGCGGCAGTGGCGGGGCCGGGCTGTGCCGGCGGGGGTTACATAGAGCCCCGGCTACACGCCCAGTGCAGTGTGTGCGGCCGGGGGGGGAAGGATGGATCTTGGCACTACGCGTGGAAAGAGCCGCTCATCCGCGGGGAGGATATCCTTAAAAAAAAAAAAAAAAAGTCACTGCGTGCTGTGGAGTCGCTTTTTCAGAGGAGAGCGGCTCTGCTTGAAAGCTGATGCGCTGCCCTTTCGCTCCCTCAGCTGCCCTTGGATGGGTTGTGGAAGGCGGGACTGCCAAGAGGGCTCTGTCTCCGGTCAAGGGTTACCCCCGGCTGCTGGCCTGGGCTCAGAAGCAAAAAAAGGTGGATGGTTTCTGCCCTGGTCGTCGTCTACACCCTTTCCCCCCACCCGCACTCTTCCCCAGCAAAATGAGTCTGAAAGGATTGAGAAAGAATGGTGGATGGCTCAGGAAGATGTTTCAGCCTGGAAGACACCCAAATTCTATAAGGCAAATGTGTAGAAAGATGTGCTTTTCTTGGTAAATTCAAAATACAAAAATTTTCATGTGCAATTCAAAAGGCTTGGAATAAAACAGGGTATTAAATATCTTAGTAATGTTCCCGTCACATCTCCAGCCCAAAAACTTTCTGAGTTTTGAGATCTACATCACTCTTCCTGCTCTGCATGAGCACAGAGAGCTGATTCCATAACCCCTTTCTTCTCACAAGAGTGCTTTTCTAAGGGGAGATAGATATTGAGGTGAGAATATTAAGGAGCAAATATGTGGAATGCTCAGGATAGTTTGCTCCCATTCTCTTGAACTGAAATTGTGGTGCTTCCTTCCTGTGTGAGGAGGTCCTTAGTCCCCTCTATTGTCTGTAAATTAGACTCTGCTTTAGATTGGCTATGCATTTCTCATTTCTTTTTCTTTGGAAAAGAATTTAATCAATTCTTCTTCACAAGTATTCTGTTAAGACTCAAGAGAGAGGAGGTTTTCCACCCCTTCAGGTTTGAGCTGCTTGATTTCACTAATGATTACCCAAGACTGCGATTTGGGCAGGGATCAGTATCAACACGGCTCCACACAAGGAGCGCCTGTACTTGCTTGTTCCTTAAATGAGTGCCAGGTTGGATGTGATGTATTGTTCAGTTCTTGAATTTGAACAAGGATTTTGCCTCTTTCATGGCTAAATTGTCTAGTTCTTATTGTGCCTTAAGTTGTCACTTTTTTGCTTGTTTTCATTTACTGTTGTCTTTTTTCTCTTCTGTCAAATATTGTCTGAAAACATCTCTGTGTTTTTCAATTTGCTGGCATGTGTGACTCAGAGAATGTCACAGGATTCTTCTTTTGGTGGGAGATTAGTACCTGATGTAATGCAAGCAAATTTGTGAATATCTGTTCTGTGGTCTGGTATTTAAAGACTCGCACTTTCAATAGTCAAATGTGTTGAAAAAGCTGCACTGTGAAGCTCCAGTCACACAAAACTGCGTCACCAAAATCAACTTTCCTTCTAGGCAAGTAGTTCTTCCAGTTTCTTACAATAGTACATGTAGGTTCACAAAACATGATAGTTTATGCAGATTGTCAGGGCACAAAATATAAAGGAAATACTTCTTTAGCTTCTTCGTTTATGTTAGTTTTCTGGCTGAAACTCAGGAAAACTGGTGGCTGCTTCAATTTCATTTTTTTCTTTAAATAAGGTAATTGATGGAAGAAGTCAGTATAGCAGCTTAATGGAAACATGACTGAAAGGTGATGCTGCAGTCTTTTACAGGAATTTTGCTCTTTTCTTCAGTAGTGGCAAGATTTGATTTTTTTTTAATTTTATTTTTTTTAAGATGAACTCTGCTAAATGTATGGGAAAGTTTTTATTCAGTCAAAGTGACAGATAGATGGTGTGATCTGTACTTTGCCCCATATCATGTTTAGATCCCAATCAATCTCTCTTACGTGACCTAACCCTGGACTGCGGCATAAACTTGTGATAAAGATGTTATTTGATGTAATTGTATGTAAAATATTCAAACTTTTTCTGTAAGTTATAAGTGTTTTTAAAAATATCTTGAATCACTATATGCATTTTGTTTTCAAAGTGTTTCTTTTAGTGATTTAGGATTATTTTGGGGCTTCTTTCTGAAAAGATTACCTGTCAAAAGATCAAATTCAAGTGTTCAGAAGAATTCTGTATTTTTTTAAAGGAAAAACAAACACCAACCAGTTGAAAAATTAAAAGAAGGAATTTAAGATCAATTATGTGATATATAATATCACATAATATCATCTTAACAACCCATTTTAATCAAGAAATCATGAAAAGAGTCCTGAACGTATAAAAGTCTATCCCAGCTGAGTCTTACCTTGTTTAAATGATTGGTTTACCTGCTTTGCAAAACACAGTTGATGCCGAGCTGTAATAGACTTCTCCCTCTGGAGTGGAATTAAGCTGCAGCTTCTCTGGGGCTGTGGGTAAAAACACTGGAGGTAGAATTAAACTGAAATATTTCTGTAGAATTTCCAAGGCATTAAGTGTCCCACTTCACTTTCATACCTGGATAATTTACAGAGCTGACTGTTTTAATAGGAGATATATTAGCTTTATTATGTAGATAATTTGACTAAGTAAGATTCCAAATAAGCAGCCTCTGGAAAGATGTAGTCCAAGGCAGGGCATTGCTGCAAATGTGTGTAACTTTCTCTTTCACACTATTTTTGAAAATAACTTTTTAAACCATAAAAGAGAGTCCTGCAAATTGTGTATCTAACAACTGAAAGGCACCAGTAATTTTAGCTGGTTTTGTATGAACATATGTCACGTTCAATACATTTCCTGAGGACAGTTTCTCTAAACGAGTTTAGATTTAGAGATCCTCCTGACATGGTCAAATTTATTCTTAGAAAAGCAGGCATTACATATTAACCTCCACCAGAATACTGATATTGCCACATGAGAATTACATGATTGCAAAGCACATAATTTCTTGTTAAAATTCAGTTCTCCAAAGACTAAGTACTTCTGGGATTGTTGCTGTCTTTTCCCAGATGTTGCTTGTCAGCTTGAAAAGCTCTTTTGATCATGACTTTAGATTTGATCTTAGGCTGCTTGCAAACTTACATTACCATTAGTGAATTATTGTATTATTGAATAACATTGGTTAAAAAGTTATAAATACTTTTATGTCTCTTTGGAATAAAAAGTATGTGCTCCAGTTGCCACAAACTGGTGGAGTTCAGGAAAGTGAGAGCACTGTTATGCTCTTATTTTTAAGAATAAATATGTCTGATAGTTAATTTTTTTGTAACTAACTGGGGGAAGGTGGGGAAAAAAAGAGACATGTTGGTCCCTCTTCCTTACACTAAATAAATCTGAACCCACAAGAGATTCCCTACTTAGCTGGGATTCAGAGTTATGTTTATTGTGCACCCAAAACCCTCATTGATACTCAGGTCTGGAAAGTTCTAATCTTCTGCTGTATTTGGGCTAGACGAAGGGACCTGATATTACCATTGCACTAGAACACCCACTTTTTATTAATTATTGTTGCTACTTTTTGTGTACAAATTGTTTGTCCTGTCACTGAGATGAGCACTGAAAAAACCACGTGAACTGACTGATAAACAGGTTTTAATGTGGAATTATACCTTACGTTCTTTCAAATGTAATGTATGGGTCTATTTTTCTTTGGCAAGAATTAAAGAAAAAAAAATATTTCTGGAAAACTATTAAGATAAGATTTGTGGACGTGTAGGAAACTCACAGGAATGTTATCAAGCTGCAGAATAGATGGGGTAATTACTTTCTCTTCCTGTCTTGCTGTGCAGGAAGATGCCAATAAAGATTTTATCAAGAGCAATATGGCAAATAAGCATATTTTGAGAAACACCACTAGGAAGGGGAGATCTCCCAAGGGCAGCATTACCATTGTTGAGGAGATGGTGGCAATCAGGCTCCTCACTCCTGGCTGCCAGGGCACTGCCCCAGAGCCCAGTGCATGAATCAGGCTTTGCCCCAACTTCCCCAGAATGGTGCCTGGGGTGTGCCCAAAACCCAGCTGGGACTGTGCCCCTGGGTCACATCACGGAAACCCAGCTGGGACTGTGCCCCTGGGTCACATCACCGGCTGCCATCAGCTCCAGAGGGACAGTCCTCCTCACCACGCCAGGTTTTGAGCTGATTCTTGTTTGTTTCAGTGCCTCAGATGAGGCTGAATGTGAGAGAAATGGATATTTCAGCCAGGAAAAACTATGAAAATCCTGTTGCTGCTTTAGTGAGGCACAGAAGAGAGAAGGGGTTGGGTGTTGGTTTCTGTCAATGCATATTCTTCTACTTTTCCTACTTTAACAAGAGCCTTTTAAGGCATATTCTTCTACTTTTCCTACTTTAACAAGAGCCTTTTTAGGCAGGAGGGGAGGTCTGGTAACAGCAATAATCATTGCAGATATTAACCCATATTGAAATTATGACAATTTCATTGTATTTCAGGGTTGTGACATTTCCTTTGGGTTTGGTGTTGTGCTTTGAAGAGTTTATTTTCCAAAATCATAACAAAATATTTTTTATTATTTGAGTAAACCTATGTGTCTTAGTGGTCTTTCTTTTTACAATGTTATATATAAGTACAAAAATGCATTTATTGAACTTTTTAATTTTCTCCTCTCCTTCATTGCCCATTATTTGTTTAGAGAAAATATGGTTAGTGAGTTGATTCAGATGAACTGTCCCTGAAATAGTACTCAATTTCTTCCAGTTTTTAACTTTTCCTTTTTTTTTTTTTTTCTTTTAATATGCTTTTAAATTTATTTTTTTTTAAAAAAGAACTGGAAGTCTTCCTCCTGGTTTTAAAGGCAGCCAGAAAATCATCCTGAAAAGTCGCTGCAACTTAATTGGAGCCACTGTGGTAGGGAGTAAAATTAAATATCTACAAATTTTTTAGAAGCAGAAGAC